AACCACATTTTTTCTATTACTAGCCATGATAACGCTCTTCAACCGGTTGCTAATGTTCTCAAATATAAAGTCTAATGGATAAAGCGCTTTAGTAAAATAAAGAAGTTTCACGCTACGATAGTCGTGTTATTTGCGCAACATCTCCCGCGCTTGACTCCTACTGCCCTTGTTCTTTCATTGTTTTTTCTAATATTATTCAAACGACCACATCGGTAACATAAACAAAAACATTTTCTGTATGAATGACCAAACAAGGGATCCGCGTCAACCTCAATATAACCCGCGTGTCAGCCAGTTCCGTAATAAATAAAAATATAAACGTTAATATGGCGTTATATTCAACTTTCATTCAATCTATTCCTTCATCCCCTCCCGAAGGGTATGAAATGATGAAACGGCTTGAATTGCTCGGATCTATTAATTTCTTTGCTAGATGAACACTAATCATTTTGACCCCTGTTACAATTACAATTATTTGCTGAAGCATTAACGATAATGATAGAATTTGACGAATATTTCCTAAATTGTTCAATCAATAATTTACTTCGTTCACATTGACTATGTTTACACGGCTCGATTTACGCTGAAGTTATAACATCGATGTTATAACTACTGACATTAGATGCCGTGTAAACGCTATTTTAAGACGGAGTTATTACTTCGATGTAGTAACTCAAAGTCATTTGATGAAGAGGCTTAGAGTAACATCGACATTAAAAGGACGTGTAAACGACGTCGGTGTTATAACTTCGACGTAAATCGAGCCGCGTAAACACACAGGTTAAAAAAATAAGGTAAAAATATGGAAACGAAAAAGCGCGAAAGTTGGGAAACTGATGAAACTCGATATTTTCTTAAATTGATGAGAGAACGGCAAGTGATGAAAAGTTTAGTATATTTGTAAAATATACAGCAACAAACGAATGGACGATATTCTTTTTTCATCACTTAATTGTGTCCAAAATTTATAATAATCTAAAATGTTAATTTCACTTTTTAGTTATATGTATATTAATTTCATTTGACAAACAAATATTTAATGATTTCCAAACACATATTAATCTAAAAGTTCACTTTGCTTGTAGACTTGCTTCAGTTTTGTGAGAATAAGCGGCGGAACGTGTAAACGCAACTCACCTTAAGTAGAAATTATAACATCAACGTTCCTGAACGTGTAAACGCGACTCGCTTAAATAGGAGTTATAATATCGATGTTATAACCTCGGCGTAAATCAAGCCGTATAAACGTATCCATTGATAAAGAACGATGCTTAATTCCATAACAAGAAAATAGTAATTATCCCTCTGCCTCCTTCCCACCTTTAATTTAAAATTCTAAATCAATTAAAATTGATTAAATGTTATAAAGGACTTCTGTAGCATGCGATACGCCGGTGCTTGAAGTCTCATGATTTGCTGCTCGACCTGAGACTCGCTTCCACTCTGATCATATCTCCCCTACTCTAATAAACACTCCGTCACTCTTCCAATCCTACGTTCCGCCCGCGCGTTGAACCGTCTCTCTCTCTCTCTCCCCCCCCACTCTGCGCTCGGCAGCGACGCGATGTACTATATGATTCAGAAATCCTACACCAAGCCGCAGGTCGTAAGATAAATAGGCGACATCCCGTGAACGCGAATACGTAATATAGGCACACGAAACATTCGTAATACAGAGTGTCCCATAACTCACCTGACAACGCTCGTGGGCAGGTAGAGCGGACTAAATTGAGTCGAAAAGTTCTCTACTATTTTGTAATTTTCGCAATAGTTAACAAGATATTAATTACTAAAAATTGCCGAATATTGGTCTACAATAATTTTTTTCTCAAATACTATCAATTTTACAAAAAAAACTATAAGAGATAAAAATTGTTTATTTTCTTCTCATAAAATTCTAAGAATTTTTTCAGAATTTTTTATTAACTTTTTAATACTGCATTTTCTTATTTTTATTATCATGAGAAAATACGGTATTAAAAAATTCTGAAAAAATTCGGAAAAAATTCTCAGAACTTTATGAGAAGAAAATAAACAATTTTTGTCTCTTATAGTTTTTTTTGTAAAATTGATAGTATTTGAGAAAAAAATTATTGAAAATCAATATTCGGCCATTTTTAATAATTAATATATTGTTAACTATTACGAAAATTACAAAATAGTAGAGGACTTTTCGATTCAGTTTAGTCCGCTCTACCTGCCCACGAGCGTTGTCAGGTGAGTTATGGGACACCCTGTATAATTGGTGACAGCGGTGGGATAGTTATAAGAAATGCTGCATCCTAACGTAATTTACACATATGAAAATATTCAATTCGTAACAAGGTACACAAAATTATATCATCAAAATAACATTACCTTTGAAACAATTACACATTGCGTAGTGAAGGATGTTCTTTTGAATTTCTTGACAAACGCCGTAATTACCACAAGGACTTTGGTCAGAAGACATACACTTTTTGGTGCGTATATTCAATAGTATTGACATTTCTTTGATTTGACAGCGTACAGGTTTACTGTAAACAGACACAAAATATTGCGTTGTTTAATTCAAACTACTTCTTATTCACGAGTTCTTTGGTGAATCTTGCACCAAAGCTCTCCTACACAATTATTCGATAGGCTTGCATAATATCATTCTAGTATCCTTGCATCTATTATACTAAATCTTTTCAGGTGAAGAATCTTCTCACTTACCCATAATTATAACATGTCGCAAGGATAATAATGTACCATGTGCCAGGTTGAGGATATGCTATTAATAAACTTGCGTTAAGCTTGCTTAATGACGACAAGTTTATCGCTAAAGTTCCATTTTGACAAGAATGACGATCTTCTAATGTAGGCATACGATCTCGTCGAATGCACATTGTTACCAAAACCGATCGCATTGACGGCAACTAAAAGGATTACACAAGTATATATACAGGGTGTAGAAAAACTACCGGATCCCTAAAATATCTTGAAAAGAAATCACATTTTCGAAAAAAATGTTTTATACAAAAGTTGTAGGGTTGAAAATGATCTATTGACTGACCTTATCAATTTGACCTTGGATGGCGCCACCAAGGTCGAGTCAAAGTCAAATAGATGTTTTTAAACAAAACACTCTATTTTTGATTTTAGAATCTAATAGCTGAGGTCGGAAGCTTTCCAAAACACTATAATAAAGCCTCATTTAAATCAGTACTTTCCAAGTTATGAGAGTTGAAAGTTACGGAACCGCCGGTATTAGTATTATCTAAGGTATTACGTAGATTGCCCGACTGGATTTATGAGTCATGTATGTGCCTGCAAATGTCAGTATCACTATCTCCTCCCCCTTCCCTCCTACTCCTTTCCATCCCCTCTCCCTCCTTTCCACCTTTTCAACAAAGCTGGAGACTACATAAGCTAGAGATCTCTTCTGTCAAGTTCACTCTTTCTGTGACCTGCGATTGAGAAGGTATACTTTTTCGTGGTGCTTCGTTCTGAGATTGCTTATCGCCACATAGTTATCTTTGTTTATAAAGTATTTATTTAAAATACTTTATAATGCTTACTGAACAGGAGCGTATATCCCTTTTAATAATGCGAGGATGGGGTGGTTATAAGAGGTCTTACGCAAACGACAAGACTTCAATCAATCTTTTAGAAATAAAGACAATAGTATATCTAAATCAACTGTCATTCGTTTGAGCATTTGTTATTCCTTTAACCCAGCTCGCCTTACCTATCAGTTTTTAGTTACTTTCTCGGCTGGACTCCACCGGGATCTGAAACTTCGTCAAGTTATATCTCGGAATAGAAAACATATTTTTAACTTATCACATGCAAAATTGATATCTCTAGAGTAAGACAAGAACATATAAACAAAGATGATACAAAAAATATTTTATTCTTAAATTACATCATAAAAAGTTGAAGTCTGAATTGCAATGTGAAAAATCTCATTAGATACGTCATATCCCAGTATGGCGAGCTAGGGTTAAAAGAATATTACATATTATAGCAAATACTCAAATTAGCGTCCCTCCGCAGTCTGACAATGTGCTAGACGATTATAAAAACTTAAGACTGCATTTCTACAGAATTCGCGAGGCATTCTAAATTCATTTATTATTCGTTGACGTAAATCATTAAGATTTCGAGGTTCAGTATTATAAATTTTTCCCTTTAAATATCCCCACAAGAAATAGTAGAGTGGATTGAGATCAGGCGATCGTGCTGATCATTCAATGTAACCCCTTCTTCTATCCACCTATTCGGAGAAACTTCATTCAGATATTGGCGTACTCGAAAACCGTAGTGAGGTGGTGCCCATCTTGCTGGAACCAAATGTCATTGAAGTTTTGACGAGCGATGTTTCGGATTGCCGGAACTATTTCATCTTGAAGCATGGCTAAGTAATTGTCAGCGTTTAAATTACATTCAATAAAGAAAAGCCCAATAATGGCTTCATTTAAAATTCCAGTACATACGTTGACTTTTTGCTGATTCTGAGTATGTACCTCGTACATCCAATGAGGATTTTCATCGCTCCAATATCTGCAATTATGTCGATTTATATTCCCGGTTAGCTTAAAAGTAGCTTCATCTGAAAAAATAATGGTGACTACAAATAAAAGATTTCTATCGATATTTATCATCATACTTTCGCAAAATTCAATGCGACGATCAAAATCATCTTCGCATAGTTCCTGCGCCAGATGGATCTTATTTGGATAAAATTTTTCGTTTTTTAGAATTTTATGAACTGACAGGTAGGATCGATGTCGTGTTGTTGTCCAACTTTGCGAATTGAATTACGCGGATCTTCGATAAAAGACTGTAGAACATTCAATCTTTTATCAGGATATGTCACTATTTCTGGTCTACCTTGTCTATTACGGTCTTTTACAAAACCCATTGTTTCAAAACGTTGTACAGTACGAATAACAGTCGATTTAGATACACCATTGTCTTCATTCCTAAAAGTTTGATTGAAAAGTTCTGTCACATGTGCTCCTACGATCACCCCATCCTCGCATCATTAAAAGGGATATACGCTCCTGTTCAGTAAACGTTATAAAGTATTTTAAATACATACTTTATAAACAAAGATGACTATGTGGCGATAAGCAATCTCAGAACGGAGTATCACAAAAAAGTATACCTTCTCGATCGTAGGTCACAGAAAGAGTGAACTCGATAGGAGAGATCTCTAGCTTATGTAATCTCCAGCTTTGTTGAAAAGGTGGGAAGGAGGGAGAGGAGATGGAAAGGAGTAGGAGGAAAGAGAGGGGGAAAGGAGAAGAAAAGAGTAAGCGGGAGAAGGAGATAGAGATACAGACATCGGGGGCACATACATGACTCATAAATCTAGTCGGGCAATCTCTACGTAATACTTTAGATAATGCTAATGCCGGCGGTTCTGTAACTTTCAACTCTCATAACTTGAAAAGTACTGATTAAAAAGAGGCTTTATTATAGTGTTTTGGAAAGCTCCCGACCTCAGCTATTAGATTCTAAAATCAAAAATAGGGTGTTTCGTTTAAAAAAATCGATTTGACCTTGACTCGACCTTGATGGCGCCATCCAAGGTCAAACTGATAAGGTCAGTCAATAGATCATTTTCAACCCTACAACTTTTGTATAAAACATTTTTCTCAAAAATGTGATTACTTTTCAAGATATTTAAGGGGTCCGGGACTTTTTCTACACCCTGTATATCCAATTTTCGATCCCAAATATGTCGAACCACTTTAAGTTTAGCTCCTCTATTCCGAAACACAACCTGCTATTATTAAACAGCCTCTTTTTCCTTTATTTCCTTCCTATATTGAATGCGTGATACTTATTAGTCATTCTTGATTAATAAATATCTTTTACATTAAAGTATCCAAATAATTTAATAATTTTTTCGCATCGCCGATATCTGTCAATGCAATTAAAGGACGATGTTAAAGAGGCAGATTTTTGTTCACAAAGGTGTAAGTAAAAGGAATAGTGTTTTAAATAAATTTTGATCTACCGAAAATGATAATGTTAATAAAAAGTTCGGGATCGATAGTTTCACTTGTTTTATGCTAAAATTGCGATTGCGTAAAATATTCATTCCGTGCTATTAGAATAAGAATGAAAATTGAAGGGAAAATAAACATCACTCATTTCTATACTATTCCTATCGCTGTTGCCTAGCATTGTGTGTCTAGGGTTTTATATGTGAGACACCTATACGCGCGTTCGTATGTTAAGAGTAAAGGACTTGAAGGGGAAAAAAAAATTAACGTTCTTTTTTTTTAAACTAAAGATTTCTAAAGACCGTAAACGAAATGATTTTTCAGTCTTGAGACACGCAAACCTGACTAAAATGTTCCTTTCTTCATGTTTATAATGTATATAAAAAGATAAAAGTTGAGGGAAAGGAAGCTACTTAATTAAGTACTTGAAAAATTTAATATCTTAAAACTTTTACCTTCTTTACTTCCAGATGTATATTGATATCAAGCGTGCCACCGATATCTATCAATGGCAAAATATCAAATTGCATCATCATCGGGACTGAATCAGTTAATATTAGTCTTACCGCTCTTTTCCCTAAAAATTTCGGTGATGGAATACAGTATTAGTACCAAATAATCGCTATCGTAAACAATTAAAAAAAAATATATCATGTTCCAATCTTTATTCCATATAGCGTAAAAACAGAAAAATACACAGCACATTTTAATATGATAGATAGATATCACCTGCAAAAGATAAACGGTTGAAAATGTTTCCGCATGTTTAACACGAACTAATCGATGTCTTGATATACACTGATTATCAGTCTCTCGCTTTTTTGGATAAAATTCATCTCTATTGTAAAATTTGCTATCATTGATTTCTTTATCATACCATCTGTGTTTTATTAACTCTTTATAAGTATTCGTTCCCATTATGGAATTAAAATTTAAAGGAATGTCCGTGTATTGTCTAGTAAATGATTTTTCTGATAATTCGATTGGACACTCTGAAATAATTATTTATATATTTATTTCATTACACACATTTGTACATTCTTTTTACACATACGTGCGCGTATGTATAATTAACATTTTTGTTTATAAACAAAATTAATTATAAACAAAATATTAAATACATAAAAACAATAATGATTACTTGATGCTACAACTACATTTGAATTCGATATATTGTTGCAATTATTTGTTTATTCCCGATATACAAATTATCCAGGGCTGGGTATTTTTGCATTTAAAATGCCATTTAAAATGTAATTCTATTTAAAATACTAAATGTAAAATACTTAAAAAAATGTATATTAAAATGTATGTAGGGAAAACCATTCTGTATTCGAAAACTGTTTAAAATATCTATTTATCCATTTTACATATAAAGTGGATTCGAAAAACATTTTGCATTTTAAATACATTTTTTTAAGTATTTTATATTTGGCATTTTAAATGATTACCCAGCCCTGAAATTATCAAAGATTCGTTCGTCTATGGAATTTGCGAAAAAGTGTTTCAATAAAATATATTTATATATTGAGTTTTATTGTATTCGTTTAATGTTCCAGTTATTCCAATGTGCGCACGTACGCAACATATATAGTGCGCGCGCGCGCGTGTATGTGTGTGTGTGTGTGTGTGTGTGTGTGTGTGTGTGTGTGTGTGTGTGTGTGTGTGTGTGTGTGTGTGTTTCATTTTAAGTGATATGGTCGATTATCTTGCGAATCGTCAAAAAATGTGGTGGCAGCAAAATGGTGCGCCACCCCATTCTCATCGTATTGTGACGGAATACCTCAATAACATCTTTCATGAAAGATGGATAGGAAGGTATGGATATATTCGATGGCCTTCATGATCTCCTGATTTAACTTCATGTGAATTTTTTTGTGGGGCTACATAAAAAATATTGTTTACAAAACTCCGCCGACATCTGCAGGAGACATGAAAAATCAAATAACTAAAGTTTGTTGTAGCATTCCTCAAAATATTTTAATTTTAACAGTAGAAAATTTTGAGAAACGGTTGAGGTCTGTAAGAAAATGGAGCTCCATTTGAACATCTTATCAACGGCTAAAGACATATTCGAATTGATCTTGCCTTGGTTGGCCGGATCAGTGATCGGTCTTGCCTTAGTCGGCCGGATCAGTGATCGGTTTTGCCTTATAACTTAACAAGTACTTAACGAAAAGTAATTTTATCATAGTGTTTTGGAAAGCTGTCGAGATAAGCTACAAAAATATGTAACAAAAAGGGAGTTTCCATTTAAAAAAACATTAATAACCTTGATTTGATTTTGACAAGGTCACTCAAGATCAAGTCCACATTTCCATCATGAATGGTCCCCCTTCAAGCCATGCAACTTTCGTTCAAAAAATTTTTCATTAAAATCATCGATTCGCGAGATAATCAACCATATCACTTAAAATGAAACACCCTGTATATATAATATGAGTATATATACAGGGTGTAAATAAAGTTCCGGACCCCTTAAATATCTTGAA